TTTAGACTTTTCGTCACCTCCACCAAATGCATCAGTTCTTGTCGCCGGTGACCATTTGTAAACTGCAAGCCCAAGTCAAGAGGGAAAAAAATGAGTTAGAAATCGAAAAAAACCATAGATCTAACACTTAACAACATGTCACCCACAATACATAAATCTTGCAAATATATATACATATAGTATGGAGAAACCCTTCAAAATAGGGAACGGACAAGATCTGCTACCGCCGCTTCGTAAAGAACACATCTCATACCGTGGGGGAGTATGCAAGCAACAAAAGCGCAATTGCATCTTCATTGAGAAAATTGAAACGAGAGTGATCAGAAAAGAAGAACAATGATGTATCGAGAAGGAAGAGGACCGACAATCGAATCTATACGGGCTTGATCTTCATCCATTATCACTGTCTCCATGACTGCAAAAGAGAAAAAGAAGAAGGTTGAAGGAGGTGAGTTGGACTAATTTCATAGAAAAAGAAATTAAAATGAAGAGAAGAAGAGAGGATTTCCGCAAGGGAAAAATAGAAAGATGTAGGGGAACGGCAGCGGCCAGCGGGGAAGATGTGGAGAAGCTAGGGTTTTTGTTATGAAAAACTTAAACCAGCGGTCAGGATCTAATTCCAAAATGTGATGGCTGAGATTGAACTAGATTATTAACCACTATTAATAAAATAAAATAAGAAACTGTGTTATATATTTTTACCCATTACCGGCGACAAGGTAGGATTATGAGAATGAAAAGAAACCACGGACAAAATCTTTTTTTGTTCCTGCCTTCCCACATTTTCTTTTAAATTATTGTCTCTACAACATATTTCCAGCGTACACAAGTATACATTTCCATTGCTTCCCCTTTTAGCTATTATTTATAGTTAATATGTTATTATAATATAGTTTTTTATTATAATATAATTGAGAAGCTCTTTTATTGCAAACCTAATTCTGTTTATTTTTTATCAAAATTTATCCTACAATTTACATTCCTTATATTTGTTGACTTTCACTGAGTTTGAGCTTTTCAAAACTACAACTTATCATTTTTCAAATGAAGGACAATGAAGCAGCTTGTATTTAACGAGGTAAGTAGGATAATCTCAAACAAACAAGTATTGAACTAAATATGACTGTCAACATAATTTCAGTCATCATAAATAAATAATGATAACGCCAATTTTTCCTACAAAAGATAGGTTTGGTGACATATTTGTTGTCTTTATCGATGTGGTATAAATTCGGTCACAAATACACAACTACTTGTTGAAACATTATCGACAACATTCTGACCAAAAAACAAGCATTACCGACAACAATATTTTATTCGTCATAAAAAGTGATGGCGCCAAAATTTCCCTCCAGATAATGAGTTTAATGACGAGAATTTTCGTATTTACCGACGAGGTTAGCCTTTGTCACAAATACACAACCAGTTGACGAAATATTACTGACAACAATATAATTTTGTCAGTAAAAGTCATCATCAGCGACGAGTTTCATTTGTCGTCGCTAATTTTCGTCACTAATGACAGTCTTTTTAGTAGTGTACCCAAGCTCTTTGGAATACCTTGTTCTTGTGTTCTCGAACAAGGAATTTTATTCCTTTGATTGAGCTATGCAATTATGATCCAAGAAGGCATCATTGTGAGGCGACTAGTGAAGGAAGAACCAGAGACAAAGAGATTCCTAAAGGATTTGTTAGGGTTTGGTAAGAAAGATATGGAAAGCAATAATTAAATGTACAATAATCACATGTGGAAATCTCATGTCTGTTTGATAATCAGAATCGGTCTTAATCGTTTCTATGAAATCATTTACCAATTGGTCCAGATATCACCACTTCACTAAACAATATGTATTGATTCAAGCAATAAATCATATATTCGAACATTAATGTCATGCATCCACTAACCATAATGTTTTATCAATCAAAATATGAAGTTGTAAGTGCTTATCCCCTCCTATGGACTCAGAATTCGATACTATTGACAATGTGACGCTTCTTGCTTCAAACTCTCCGCAACAGCACAACGTATTTGATGTAAGGATGAAGTTGGAAAGGAGTGTTCCCCTGAATGCATCATTGTTATTCAGAACCCGAGATTAACTTCTCTAGGAACAAATAATGATAAACTACGTCGGGAAGCAGCGGTTCATGTGCAAACCCCCCCCCCCCCACCCCCTATACAACAGTTTGTATGGATATTTTATTTCAATCCAATCTTATGTCGAAACATGAAACAAACATAACTTTGTGCTCGCGTACCCGATCGTAGCGAGTTTTTTATTCCGCTTAAGTTTCCGAGATCTTGCATGGCGAAACTTCTGCAGGCGGTTTGGTTCCGCTTTTGTCCTAGAAAAACGCCGTTTGTTTCCCCGAATGAGCTTTTTTCCGATCGATTTCGCCAAACTTTGGACGACTATAACTTTAGGCTCCGCACTTCGAACGTCATGAATTTTTTTTTAATTTCGCGTAACTTTAGAAGGAATACAACTTTTACATGGAAGGAATTTTCAAAACAGGAATTATTTCTGGATATACGGGATTTTGGGAATAGCTTTACCTTCACTTTTCACAAATCCAAGTACATTCAGAAATTATGAATATGATAAAAATTGTAATCCTTGAAAAGTTAGACGAAATCAAAATAGAAATCATGACATTCGGATTGCGGAGAACAAAGTTATAGTCGTCCAAAGTTTGGCGAAATCGGATAAAAGCTCGTTCGGGGTAGCTAACATCGTTTTATCGTGACGAAGGCAAGACCAGACCGTCTGTGGCAGTTTGCGGCTTGCAAGATCTGGAAAAGTTATGTTGGAATAAAAAAAATCGCTACGATCGGATACCTGAGCACAAAGTTACATTTGTTTAATATTTCGACTTAATAGGGCCTCCAATCGCGGAATTGAATATCATTTCATCCAAATAATGAACTCCTCATTATCCAGCCACCTTCCTTCCACAAGTTTACTGACTTCAATATGGATAACAGAGCACAATCCATCAAATGGAAACATGAAGAATCACAAGGAACGACCAATTGAGAGCCAAGCAACTCTCCACCTCTAATACACGAAATAGAAGATACTTGTCAATTGTCATGAATTAGGTCAAATCGAATGGACGAAATTGTTCTACCATCGCCTCTACACCCCAATCAGAAAAGGCGGATATCGAGATCGTACTCTCGAAAGAAGGGAAACAACCATGAACTTTGAGGATATTAATCTGGGCTAATCGATGCTACTAACCTTCTTGGATTGCTCGAATCCTACGAGATCGATTAATGCTAGAGATTTGGGGATTTATAGGATTAGTTTGGAGCAATGGATCTAGGGATTTTGGATCTTTTATAGAGAAAGCGAGAGTGAAGAAAGGTAGATGAGATCTGATTAGAGCGCTAGCTTTGGGGAACTGCTGGCTGTCTTCCTCACACCATCGACCCCAACACTGCTCGGTGACTCAAAGTATTGGATCTTCCTGGGAGAAGGATAACGCCATTTTTCTTTCTTCTGGAGTTGGATTGCGTTTTTTTCTACGAGAGAGCGATTAGATGAGAGAGAGACAGAGGGGAGGGGTCATCACTAATGTTCTAATAGAATAAATATCTTTTTCAAAAAATAAAATTTTATGTCACTACTTACATTGTCACCAAAACGACATTTAACATATGTAAAGATAAACTGCGCCACATAAAACAATGAACTAAAGGTGACGTTGGACTGCATCACAGGAAAGATTTATTTCGTCACGAATAGTTTTTTGCTAGGTCTGACAAAAATTTTAAGCTTTTTGTGACAAGCAGTAAATTTCGTCACACAAAATGTACATTATGTGACGAAATTTGACCCATCACAGAATATTTTTTCACAGAAGAGTAACTTTGTTGTACTGTCGGAAATAAGCTCATTTGGGGTAGCAAACGACATTTTTTCCAGAAGAAAGCGAGATCAAACCGCCTACGGCAGTTTGCGGCTTGCAAGATCTCGAAAAGTTATGCGGAATCAAAAAATATCTCGCTACGATCGGATACCGGAGCACAAAGTTACGTTTGTTTGAAGATTCGACTAAAGTCGGATGAAAAAAAATATATATACATACAAAGAGCTGCTTCTCGGCGTAGTTTATTAGACCGCCATGCCCCAATGCGGTTTTCAGTGAAAAAGGCACCCTCCCCAAGCGGTTTTCGGGAAATGTGGTGTTTTTGGAATTTTTCGGAAATTGGTGGTATTTTTGAATTTTTTTATTAAGTGGTGTTTCTGAAAAAGTTCCCCGTACTAGGGAAAACAATCAGAATTTAAGAAAGAAAAAAAACTCTAGAATAAAAATAACCGTAATACAGTCCATTCTATACCTTTAATGTCATAATTAACCCTTGATCCTATTTGCACAGGAATACCTCTTTAAATTGATAATCAAGATACCACAATAAAAGCGCTCAACTGGATAAGGATCGTTATCTCTACAATCAAATGAGGGTGGTAGATTTTGCATCCAATCAGTCCCAGTTCAGTGGAGATTTATAATAAGCAAGAATTTCTAGTAGGGCGATGTAGCTAGTGTTAGGTACGGAATGATTCAAACACATCATTTTGCTCGCATTTTCGAAGAATTTTTCTTGTGACCCGTAGGGTTTTGTTGATTACCGAGATTAATTATATGTTAATAAAAGATAATGAGCGTCTAGCAATGCACGTCGAGGATTCGGTAAGATCTATCTAGGATCGCCACAATTACGAAATTAAAGGATTGAATTTGGGAAAATGACTTATGAAATTTGTAAATTGGTAGTAGTGGGATATTAAGTAGTTATCATTTTAAGGATCCGAAATGAAACAATAGCATATAACCAATGAAATTATAAAAATTGGATAAGTCATTTTAATAATATACAAATACAAATGAAACAATGTTTATGAGAGGGTACTAGGCTGATTACGTACATAATAGGAAATTTAAGACAATAAATAAATGAATATTTGTGCATCAGGGAAGGGAAGAGGTAGTCAGTTGGCAAGCGAATCTGTTGCACCAAAAAGCGGATGGTTGTGATTGTGGCCTCCATCAACTATCAAATTCAATCCGCTCACGTATTTTGCATCGTCACTGGCCAAGTATAAGGCAGCCCGAGCAACATCCTCGGGTTCGAGGATAGCCCCTCTCAAGTTTCCAGCGGCGGACATGAATTCCTCAGCAGCCTTCTTGTCCATTTGCATGCCGCTTGTGACCATGGGAGTGGCCACTCCATAGGGAGAAATGGTGTTGACCCTGATGCCGTACTTGCCCAGCTCCACGGTCAAGTTGTTGTTGAGCCCCAAAATAGCATGCTTGGAAGCCTTGTATGCGTAAGACAAGTCGCCACTTATAGAAGCGGCAACGCTGCCGGTGAACAAGATGCAACCTTTCCTTGCGGGAATCATAACCCTGGCGGCGTGTTTGGCTCCGAGGAAGGATCCGAAGAGGTTGATTTCAAGCACCTTCTTGAAGTCGGCGTTGTCCGAGTTTAAGATGGTGGTGTCGAGGTTACCTCCGATTCCAGCGTTGTTGTACATGATGTCTAGCTGGCCGTACCTTGACACCGCTGTATCAACGGCATTCTCAAGGTCAGAATCACTTGTAACGTTGCAGTGGACAAAGGAGACGATCTCCGGCGGGCCGAGATCCATGGCGAGGGACTGTCCGAGTTTGTCTTGAACGTCGGCGATGAGGACCTTGGCTCCGTGGTGGACGAACAGCCTGGCGGTGCTCTCGCCTATGCCGCTAGCTCCGCCGGTGATGATTGCCACTTTGCCCTCCAGCTTTCTAGGAGAGGCGGTTGAGATATCTGAGCTCACCATGTTTTGTTTTCTTTTGTTTTGTGGGGGAAATGAGTCGAGAGAGAGAGAATCAGTTTGCTTGCTGATGAATCTTTGTTTTTAAATTTGCCTTCGGTAAGAAGATGTTTGCTTGTGGTTGTTGGTTGAATGAGGGCTGAGCGCTCTTTATATATAGTTCAAGTTCTACATGCAGGCAAACCAATTTAGCGTGTCCTTTGACAATTAATTAATTAATTAATTAATGGTGTACGTATTATAACATTCCATCGTAGAATAGAATGGGGAGAGGAGATGAATATATAATTAGTTTCAAGGGTCAAGCCAATGACCTGAATCACAAGGTCAAGGTGAAAATGCGTACGTAGAAAAACAGTCCCGACGCGCAAGGCGCATAGACGTACGTAAGCCAATACCTGAATTATTTGGCTGCCTTCTTTGTTCACGAAGCCGTCACAACTGGGTGTTCAAAAATTCAACCAATATCCATAAAAAAAAATCCAACCCATACACACGCTTCATAATAATTATATTAAAAAAAAACCTTGCGTTAGAGACCTTCTACTTGTATAAGAAAATTACGCGATATACGTGGTTTTCTCGACCATCAACCCGTTCAGACTTGTCTACGCTCGTTATAAAGTCTTCTTAACCTGTTGTTTGCCTACCTTTCATTACCATGCACAATGGAGGAATAGTTCTCCATATTTTTCAGAGTTCCGTACATCATCGGGTCGGCTGTACCTCCCATGCGTTTACAAGGCCGACTACAACCCTAGCTCAACTTGTGGACTATATCCTAGTAACCTTGTCTACGTGATGTATAACTCAAAGCTTATCTGGAGGGCAATGTAGAAAGATTTTGAACGTATATTTAAAGATATCGAATCTGATGACGAATGAATTGCTGAAGATTAGGAAGCCAATAAAACTGAGGATGATCAAGTGCTCAATGAAGAAGGGAATGCACCAATCAATTATTTACCTTTGAGAGATATGATTGTGAACATGGAAATATGATTGGTGTTAAATGTACTTCGAGTGAACCTGAGAATATTGATATCAGTGCCTAAGCAAATAGACAAGGATTCTATGAGAATGAGAGAGACGGTAAGGGTGATAATGTGACATGTAAAGGACTTATATGTTAATATTTGATCCTAATTGATATGATCCCAAATTGCTTAACCTTTGAGCTTTCATGGATTGATCAAGAAGTTAGTTTCACAAGGCAGAAAGAATCTGAATTTTGGTTAAGTCTTTTATGTGTTTCATGTTACCAACTTTGGAGGCTTGGTTCGATCAAGTCATTCAATGAAAATTTGAGTTTGATGGCTTGTTTTTGAAGATGGAGTAAACCTGTGCAAGATGGAAGGCTTATAAGTTCCAATTGAAGTATGGAAGACCATGATTGAAGCTCTCCAAGTTGCCAAATTAAAACCGAGAATCTGCCATTTTTGGCTAAGGCAAATAGCGAGATCAAGGTGCCAACTTTGGAACTTAATAGCTGGAGTTTGGGACACAAGCAGAGACTAATTCGAGTTGCCATGGAAAGAAGAGTACTTACTAAACCAAGGGCAGAAATTGGATGAAGACGAATGGCCTGGGAAGATAATTTTCGAGGCACTCAAAGATGTTGTCTCGAGCTGCCAGAAATCCGCATGACATTAGGATTCCGAGTTGGATTCGGATTACTTGTATAATTTAGTTTCCTTGCTGAATTAGTTTAGTTTCCATTAGTGTTTAGGTTTGTTTTAGCTTGTTTATGCCTTTAAAAGCCCTCATTCATGTATTGTGAAGTTCAGACAGAGTTGATTTATGAAGATAACCCCAAAATTCCCAACGTTTTGAGTTGTGAAGTTGTCTTGTTTTGGTTGCGATCAAATTAAGCTTGCTGAATATTGGCCTATTAATCAAGCAAACCCCCTCGATTACATCGAAGGCGACCTCATAACGATCGAGCACTCTTCCTGGTGTAAGAGTTCCCTTTCGTTTCCATCGAAACCCCATTCAAACAAGCTTACCACTACAAAAAAGACTGTCAGCAATGACCAGAGGATTTCGTCAGTAAAGCTCAGATTCCGTCGCAAATGCCCTTTTGCGACGCCATGCAGCCGTCGCGTTCCGTTCCAAATACGAGCGTCACAAATAGTTTTTGTGTGACAAGCCGTCAGAAAAGACTATTTGTGACGGTACGAGGTCGTTACTAAAAATAATGGGCTGTCAGAGAAGGTTTTTCTATATTTACTAATTTGACGACCATATTGCATTTGTGACAAAATTTTGTTATATTCATGACAACATTGGCCCGTCGCTGATAACGTTAGACAAATGCTTATTGTTATGGATCATTTTTTATGATTAATTTGATATTCATGAAACCAAATAAAACATATGAAATAATACGTATTTTATTCTCAATTATGAAGTTAATCATAACTCACACTTTTTCTTTTCTTTGGGGAGCTTCACTTACTATACTCTGATCATACATTCTTAACAACATACACTTTGAATTAAAAATATATACATTGAGCTATAAAAGATGTATACAAATTGAGAAAGTTAAAAAAAGACTAAACAGTAGTCAATAATGATTAAAGAAAATCATGAATCACTGCTTTAGACTTTTCGTCACCTCCACCAAATGCATCAGTTCTTGTCGCCGGTGACCATTTGTAAACTGCAAGCCCAAGTCAAGAGGGAAAAAAATGAGTTAGAAATCGAAAAAACCATAGATCTAACACTTAACAACATGTCACCCACAATACATAAATCTTGCAAATATATATACATATAGTATGGAGAAACCCTTCAAAATAGGGAACGGACAAGATCTGCTACCGCCGCTTCGTAAAGAACACATCTCATACCGTGGGGGAGTATGCAAGCAACAAAAGCGCAATTGCATCTTCATTGAGAAAATTGAAACGAGAGTGATCAGAAAAGAAGAACAATGATGTATCGAGAAGGAAGAGGACCGACAATCGAATCTATACGGGCTTGATCTTCATCCATTATCACTGTCTCCATGACTGCAAAAGAGAAAAAGAAGAAGGTTGAAGGAGGTGAGTTGGACTAATTTCATAGAAAAAGAAATTAAAATGAAGAGAAGAAGAGAGGATTTCCGCAAGGGAAAAATAGAAAGATGTAGGGGAACGGCAGCGGCCAGCGGGGAAGATGTGGAGAAGCTAGGGTTTTTGTTATGAAAAACTTAAACCAGCGGTCAGGATCTAATTCCAAAATGTGATGGCTGAGATTGAACTAGATTATTAACCACTATTAATAAAATAAAATAAGAAACTGTGTTATATATTTTTACCCATTACCGGCGACAAGGTAGGATTATGAGAATGAAAAGAAACCACGGACAAAATCTTTTTTTGTTCCTGCCTTCCCACATTTTCTTTTAAATTATTGTCTCTACAACATATTTCCAGCGTACACAAGTATACATTTCCATTGCTTCCCCTTTTAGCTATTATTTATAGTTAATATGTTATTATAATATAGTTTTTTATTATAATATAATTGAGAAGCTCTTTTATTGCAAACCTAATTCTGTTTATTTTTTATCAAAATTTATCCTACAATTTACATTCCTTATATTTGTTGACTTTCACTGAGTTTGAGCTTTTCAAAACTACAACTTATCATTTTTCAAATGAAGGACAATGAAGCAGCTTGTATTTAACGAGGTAAGTAGGATAATCTCAAACAAACAAGTATTGAACTAAATATGACTGTCAACATAATTTCAGTCATCATAAATAAATAATGATAACGCCAATTTTTCCTACAAAAGATAGGTTTGGTGACATATTTGTTGTCTTTATCGATGTGGTATAAATTCGGTCACAAATACACAACTACTTGTTGAAACATTATCGACAACATTCTGACCAAAAAACAAGCATTACCGACAACAATATTTTATTCGTCATAAAAAGTGATGGCGCCAAAATTTCCCTCCAGATAATGAGTTTAATGACGAGAATTTTCGTATTTACCGACGAGGTTAGCCTTTGTCACAAATACACAACCAGTTGACGAAATATTACTGACAACAATATAATTTTGTCAGTAAAAGTCATCATCAGCGACGAGTTTCATTTGTCGTCGCTAATTTTCGTCACTAATGACAGTCTTTTTTGTAGTGTACCCAAGCTCTTTGGAATACCTTGTTCTTGTGTTCTCGAACAAGGAATTTTATTCCTTTGATTGAGCTATGCAATTATGATCCAAGAAGGCATCATTGTGAGGCGACTAGTGAAGGAAGAACCAGAGACAAAGAGATTCCTAAAGGATTTGTTAGGGTTTGGTAAGAAAGATATGGAAAGCAATAATTAAATGTACAATAATCACATGTGGAAATCTCATGTCTGTTTGATAATCAGAATCGGTCTTAATCGTTTCTATGAAATCATTTACCAATTGGTCCAGATATCACCACTTCACTAAACAATATGTATTGATTCAAGCAATAAATCATATATTCGAACATTAATGTCATGCATCCACTAACCATAATGTTTTATCAATCAAAATATGAAGTTGTAAGTGCTTATCCCCTCCTATGGACTCAGAATTCGATACTATTGACAATGTGACGCTTCTTGCTTCAAACTCTCCGCAACAGCACAACGTATTTGATGTAAGGATGAAGTTGGAAAGGAGTGTTCCCCTGAATGCATCATTGTTATTCAGAACCCGAGATTAACTTCTCTAGGAACAAATAATGATAAACTACGTCGGGAAGCAGCGGTTCATGTGCAAACCCCCCCCCCCCCCCACCCCCTATACAACAGTTTGTATGGATATTTTATTTCAATCCAATCTTATGTCGAAACATGAAACAAACATAACTTTGTGCTCGCGTACCCGATCGTAGCGAGTTTTTTATTCCGCTTAAGTTTCCGAGATCTTGCATGGCGAAACTTCTGCAGGCGGTTTGGTTCCGCTTTTGTCCTAGAAAAACGCCGTTTGTTTCCCCGAATGAGCTTTTTTCCGATCGATTTCGCCAA